TGCGTCAGCGGGACGCTTTGGCCTCCCAGGAGGAGCGTCCCCTGGTTTTCCAAAGGAGTAGGAGCCGGGTGCTGCCCTTCGTGGTTCCCCGGTCAGTGGTGCAGGAGGAGGGCGGGGGACTGGGTTTGGGAAATCAAACAATGCCAATGAAATCCTGTTTGGTGAATTGTCCCCCTGGCAAAAGGAATACAGGCTTTTCACTAATTTTTTTAAAAAAATAAATAAAATGCCCGTTGGGAAAAACAAAACAAAACCCCAACATCTAACCCAATTTTCAGGAGTCAGTTTCTTAGCAGAGGACTAATACTCTTCTTTCTCCTCCATCAAATCTAAGGAGTACAAAATTTTAACCCAATTCCCCTCATTATCAGTAAACATAACATTAACGACTTTGAAGACTTCTCTTTCTAGCATAACTCAAATATATAGTAACACTTAAGGACATAAGATGAACAATTCTTATGTGGGAAACACATTGAACTGTCCAGACAGACGGTGTGGTTCTCACATTGTGCGTAGGGGCACAGTGTTCAATACCATACTGTAGTGATGTCATTAGCACAGTTAGCTGCATGCAACCTTGTAGGATACATCTGTGCAACTCACTGAAACAATCCATTCTTCTTCAAATGCTTCATGACTTCCGGAAAACTAAACCAGGAAGAAATCATGCACTAGGAATCTGAAATGGCACCTGCTGACAGCCCACAATCATTGGCATCTCCAGTTTCTGTTCCTGCTTATTAATTAATAATCTCAAAAAAAAGACTCTGGAAGCAGTTGGCTACTGTACAACTGCTGGACTTGTAAGTTTTTCCTGGCTTCTTTCCGTTCAGCACCTATGTGCAGAGCTGCTTAATTTTTCCAGTTTATACTCTCAGCTCCGACCTAAGCCCAAGTGACTTTGAAGAATCAGTTGCAGATCTAGATCACAAACCGAGGAACAAGTATCTGTTCCCTCACACCCAGCTACAGGATGCATTCCTCTCTGCATATTTATGGAGCGTGGGAGCAGCGGATAATTGCAAAATCAAAGACCAGAACTAGGACCAGCTCAAGAGTTATCTGCAAGACTAGGGAGTAATGTCCTTTTTCCTGCAGAAGCAGAAGGGGACCATCATCCTCTTTATACTACAGACTAGCTGTTAAAGCTGTTTCCTGAAAGGTCTGCGTTTTTCACACATTTGATCCTGCAGGCTTGAGAAGGCCTAAACAAAACAAACTGTCCCGCTTTCTTGATTGGTATGTAGTTAACAAATCATTACATAAAAAACAGGTGCCATTCAAGCTCAGAGGCAAATCCTTGTCAGGTGTTTGAAGAAGCAGCAATAGGTCGGAGGTGACCTCCTACGGCATACATAGGGCCTGCAGGCTGGCATGATATGAGACTTAAGAGTCAGTGACTGCATTTTCGACTAAAAATGTGTGTGGCCCCGGATAAGCATACCAGCTATCTTGAAGTCTGTGCTAAAGCACTGCCAGGGAGCAGAACTCAGCACTGAGGATTCTAGGATCAAGCACCTAAAATTCAGGGGTCGCATATATGTTCCAAGATATCAAAGTCCTCTCTGGGATCCAGTTTCAATCTGTCATGACAGCTGACAACTACAAAGAATAAATAGTGGAAAAACAGAATATAAATTATTTTTATTTGTTTTATAAAGATGACTCATATATAATCTCATAGGAGATCATTTGCAACTTATGTCCAAGATAAATTTTTTAACATCAACAACACACCGTAAATGTCAGTATCCCCATAAAAGTATTCAGGTAACAAACCTTACTTTCCTGGAATTGTACAACAGGGAGGCAAGTAAAACCTGCCCTGAAGTTTCAGGTATTTGAAAATTCCACAAAGTAAATATCACAAGCTTCTTTTCTGTTAGTAGTTAACATAATAGAAAACAGTACTGTTAAAGGTAACATTAATTTAAACACATTTAACGCCTCTTTTACAGGTCTGTTGCATGCACCAATTCTTTAATTAAGTCTTACAGTACAAATGCAACTTGCATAGAAATAGTTAGGTCCTTTGATTTCTATACATGTGTCACCCTAACAATATGTCTAACCATGGAAAACAAGTTACTTCCATGCACTGGAGTCATTGTCCAATCATCAGTGCCTGTCCCACTCTTGGCAGCTCAGAGAATAGCACATTTTTTGTTCATGTTTTTTTGTTCTGGACAAGGTAACTGGTGCTATCAACAGAGAAACTTTGATTTGTTAAAAACAAAAAATAATCACCAGAAAAAAAAACACAAAAAAGAAAAGAAAATGTTTCTAAACATGTATTTCAACAGGTAGTGACAATGGAAGAAAACAGAGCACAGCACAATGATGCTAGGTAAAATCTAATCAATGTGTCAATCAAAAACATTCTTTACAAACTTATTTGAGGACTAAGATTTCGGCTATTAGTTACAAGATCTTCAACCCCCCCCCCAAACATCCTAGGCTACCAATATCAAAATATATTCATAGATACATTGAATGGTAAGTGTATCAGGCTACTTTGGTGAACAAATCAGTATGATGTTTTGATCATTACACTACAAGACAGTTTGGATAATCCTCAAATTAGTAGCTTTCCAACATTTAGAATAATGCTCAAGTGAGTAGAACATGAAATGAATTAAGTTATCTTAGTAAAAGACAGTATATAAAAAAAAAAAACCTATGATCTTCAAATGAAACACCATACTTGACAGATTAACATACATTCCTTTCTTTAAAGTAATATATTTTGTAAACACATGTAACAATGTTTATGTATTACCTCTATTAATAACAAGCTTTAGATTCTAAAAACAGTACTTACTGAAGATTCATTCTTTTAATAAAGTGCAGCTGAGAGTCTCAGCAACTTCTAATATGTAAGGTGAAGTAATTTTATCCCCTCGGCGTTCAAAGTACTTAGTACTCGTCATACACAGTTTAATTTTCCTAATGACTATCTCTTTTTTTTTTTTTTAAAGCATCTTCTAGATAGAGATCATCTATCCACTGATTTCTTATAGGGTAAATATGAACAAGCTGTTGAACAAAATGCCTGCTTCTTTTTTTTTTTTTTTTTTTTTTTAATGAGAGATCCGTGCTGCTTTCCCCACTCCCCAAATTCTGAATCTCAAATAACTTATGGTAAAAATACAAATTCCGTTCTGGAAGAAAACATACAAAATATACACCATGTAGCATGTGCACCTAAATATCTTGATTGTCAAGCAGTGCAAGTTTCCACCTTGACATACACAATTTTTTTGTTTTAGACAAAAAAGTGTTTCACTGATCTTTGCTGATCCCATTTCTTGCCATCTTTGGTAGTCTTTGTCCCTTCGTGTAAGCATGGTACCAGAAGTGGAGAAACAAGACTAAAAACATAGAGCCATATAGCCAAATAATAAACATGAAAATTGGATACTGGTATGGACAATCATCCATGATGTAGATTTGTCCTATATGGCCTGTAACCAAAATAAACTGGATCTGGAAGAGAAAAAGTGAAGAACAATACTTTTTAAATAAAATGCGAACTTACTACAGAGGTTTAAAAAGCTGCAGCATAACTTGCATACAGAGAAACAGAAAGTGGGGGAAAGCCGCTCCCAGAATACTACTCCACTGGAAAACATTTTCACTGAGTGAAGAGAGAAATTCTGGGACAAACTGCACTACAAGCAGCACTGAGCAGCCCACATTAGGAGAATGTGAGTCTGCCCTGGCCAATTCAGAGAAGAAAGGAGGAGGCAGACGGTGTTTGATAAGTGACAAATGGGAGGCTCCTTTAGAAAAATTAGCCAGAAATAAAAAAAAAAAAGCAGCTATTATAGGATTGGTTAACATGATTTCCCACTTTCCATGCACACTAGAATGTGACACAAAGGTCTGCACGTCCACAAAAAAAACAATTTAACGGAGGATTTTAAAAAATTTTCCACTTGAACTCCCAAGTTAATAATCCACTGGTAGTGCCTCCAAGACAAAAAGACTTTAAGTTATAAATATTCAAGCTTACTTGTTCAGAGTTACACATGGTTACATGAACTCTTCTATTAACACCAGACGTGGTGCAAGTAGCTCGCTATGGCTGCTTCTCCCTGCTCCCCTCCCTCCTCCATCAGCATGCTTGCTCAGGCCAAATCAATTGTTCAGCCAGAAGCAGAATTTTGAAAAATCAGCTATTAAAAAAGCCAGGCATGGAAAAGCCGCCAGAGCAGTAACCTTCTGAAAGTGGTCTAGGGCTAGTAAAACATTTAATGTAATTACTGCAAGTGGTTTATTAATGTTCTGAGTTAGAGAGGGGTAAATTCTCTAAAAAACATTCTCTGTGAAAACTGACATGAAATTCAGAAGAAGTCTTTCTCTATTCCTTTCCTTAGTACTAGTCACACATGTATTCTGTACATTAATTATTTTTCCTTGGTGTAAACTTACATTCTAATAATTTTTATACAGGCAATGAATTTTGTAAATGTATTTACCAAGTACTGCATAACTGAAAAGCTCATGTGTCTAAACCTGTGATAACAGTGAGTGCTGAAGCTAATTTAAACATATACCTAAGGGGAGCTCACAACTTTTGTTTTACTCAAATAAAACATGAGCAAACGTTGTACCAATTGTAAGCTACACACAATATAATGAAAGATACAAATATATTGCATGGAGTCTACGTTAGCTACAGTCATCTTTCTGAGAGGTGTTTACATCAAACAGATCAATTACTCACCAATTGTATAGTTGTCATATATTTTTTCCACCACAAATACTTGTAATAGGCTGGCCCCAAAGAACAGATTCCATAGTAAGTGTACATGACAACATGGACAATACAGTTCAGTAAAGCATGAAATGTTCCTAAACCACCTGTAGAAAAACAAAATGTAGTATTTAAAAAGCCATCTCAGGTCCTATTAGTTTATTTTGAGTTGGGTAGAAAAAAATGCATAACACAAAACCTACAGACTTTTATTAACCCTCAAAGTAATCTGAATTGGGTTGACACCACTTCTAAGGGATCATATCAGTTTCCTTTCTCCTAAAAGGCTTATCTAAGCATTTCCAAAATACCAAAAAAACGTACCTTATCTAATTATTTCCAAAATGTTTTAGTGGAATTCTTTGCTCTTTGGGTTCTTTTTTATTATTATTTTTAATTCAAATACATACACAGTGGAGAGACAGAGAATTTAGTAGAAACAGTGTTCCTCCTGTTTTACACTTCTTTTCTAGACACCCTAATGAATTTTGCAAATCTCTGGAGGATACATAATGATTCTCTCCTCAACACAGATTTCCAGATTCTCAGGGAAAGAATCACAGTTTCAGACTGTAAGTTTTTTGAATCATGACTTAAGTGAGGGTCTCACAAATGTGTTTTTCATATCAAAAGCATACTTACAGTGAAAAGAAAATTAAGGCAAAGTAGCCCTATTTTGGTAAGCTACAAACATTTCACAAAGCAAGTAAGGAAATACTTCCTTTTCCATCAACTATGGAGTTAGATGATCCTGCTCAAAGTAATTTTATTGTAATGAACACAAGACATAATAGGTAAACATGATCTAAGAAGTGGCAGACAGCAAAGTATTTTTAAGAGAAAGATGAACACAAAAATACTGAGCATCATGCAGAAAACAAGATGACATTAAAAGAGACATTTAGGGAGAAATAAAAAGCCAATTTTCCATTAAGAATGATTCAAGTTAAGAATAAAATATATTTTGTGATTTTAGTAGCTCACACTATTCTTCCAGCTTGACAGTTCATAACTGCTCCAGCTGTGATTGCAAACTTTCTTTGAAATTTAGCTATTTGTATTTTTAAAAATAATTTGAGTGTTCTTACAGTTCAAATGTACATACTTTTTTTGGCTTGCACAGTGAATACTCAGTAGAAAAAATAAATAGTTAAAGCAGAGCAAAAAGAAAAAACAACCTAATCAACAGTACAAAAATGTGCTCCAAAAAGCAACACCGCCCATAAGCACCATTTTACAATTCCAAGTTCATATCAGATAAGAGAAGAATGAGCATCTCCGTTCAAATCTGGTTTTTTACAAACAGGTTTAAAACTTGATGAATGCCACTATTTAGAAGGACAAACAGTGATGAAACTGAACACAAGGTAATCATCAGCAGGACTAAAAATCTTGGAAAAAAAATTTTAAGTTATCAGAACAACATTTTGAAAGATTAGTATAAAGATAAGCAATGGAGCTGAATAAACACAGCTCTGCATGAATATGAGGGACTATTATTAGCAGAGTACAAAACAGTTCTTGCACACTTTGCTCAAAGTATTTGTCAAATTATCACACGGGAAATTTGACGCAAGATCAGAAGCCTGTAGCTGGTGCACTGATCAGATGTCCAGATAAAAGGCAGAAAGTTAATGTCCTATAAATGGAAACTTTTCAAGGTTGAGGAGGAGGAACTATTAGTTGCTGGGGTGGTTCTGTTTTTGCAAATCTGTAAACACACTGAACTGTATGCTGAAAAAATAATTCACAATTTCATCAACAACTTAAAATACCAGTTACTCAGCAAAATTTGAGAAAAGATGATTAAGACAGCAGCTTCCGAATGACAGAACCTCAAATACAGCAGAAGTACACCCCTTCATACACTAGGAAAATCTACACGCTGGATGTATTCAAAAGATCCCATCTACAAATTTTCTGGACTGTCTTCCAGGATTTATTTTTGTTTTCATATAACAGCTACTAACAGATCAGATCAAAGAAGCAACAGTTCTCTTCATCAATTTATCACTGATTTTCTAGGGGAAAAATCATGCCTGAGAACATCAGTGGAAAAACTTCTACAAAACCCCCACCCTATTTCTCAGTGGAAACTCCTAAAACAAAACAAAACCAAAAAAACAAAAAAAAAACCGACAAAAACCATGCTCCTAGACATGGACTACCAAATGACTGTGCATTTCTCCACTCTATGCTTATCAGGCTATTCTTATGGCAAGCTATATTAATTAGCAGTGCACACTAATAATACAGCACAGGAAGATGCATGCAGAGACACACAGAACAGGAAAGGAAAAAGTGGATGAAGACTTTCAATTCAGTACAATTCAAATAAGTTTCTGTAGTAAGTAAGGTCCAGAAAATATTCCTCTTGTTTTGTGAAAGTCAAAGTACTAGATGTAAATAAACTCCAAATATGCTACCTAAAGCCAGTAAAATAACTGCAACAAAGCCTGAACGATTTCTTAAATAGGTTGAAACATGAGAACTCCTCCAACTCCTTACATCTCAGGGCAACGAATGTCTTTGAAGTAGTTCCAACAGAGTTATCTGCCTCATGTACCTGCCCTAGCACTTCTGATTTTGTAGTCACCTCTCTTTTTCACACAATAATGCTCTTTGCTCATATACAGATTTCTCCTCTGCACCCTTCCTCCCCATGAGGAACCAACATTGCAAAAATGCTGTCAAATAGGACAAATTAGTATTCCCCACTCAGTTAAATAATTATGGTGATCTCAGATCTTCCATGAAATACTGCAACTGAGATATAAAAATATTTCTAAATATAAAAATATTTCTAATTCTGTTCTTCAAATAAGTTTGTCTAGCATAATAAACTTTTACTACCAAAATACATGTATAACTTAAACTCTCTCTCCACTACCTGGAGCAAATTTGACTCCAAACCACCAGGTCCATGGCATGATGGAATGATGAAAGACATGCAGGAATGTAACTTGGTTGTTTTTCTTACGCAGCACAAAAAACACCTGAAACAGATTTTTAAGTAACAGAATGTTACAGGAGATAATCAAGCCCAATATACTTACATAAAACTGTGTACCTCAGTGCTGATTGTTCACTACTATACATTTAAAAAATTAATCACAGATTCAGTCTTGCAAGAAGGAGGGAAACTAAGGCTCTGAATATGCAGACTAGTGTTCAAAAAAAGCTAAATCAGTATGTAAAAATCCACCTGTGGAGTCTCAAAAGCCAGGACAAGCTTTGAAAGCAAATGTCCAAGGTTGAGCCATCACCTGTGTGTGCAATGGACAGGACAAGATGGACATGCTTGGATTGAGAAGTATCTAGAGGCAACAGCTTCTAAGTCCCCTGAACTACTAATGCAATGCCATTTGAGAAAATTAACCATAGGATTAGCAACAGATAGAGACAGTAGAAAATACTGTATTAGAGAAATAGCACTTTATTATGAACACTGATTTAACTACTCTTGGAAGAAGGTAATATTGGACAGAATATATGTAGGTATTCGTAACTGATATTGGTGGGCCACATTTTAAAGGGCAGACATTAAGGGAAGTGTTAAGGCGGAGTTAAAAAACTGTGCAAGGAGAAGTCAGGTCATGTAAAGGGTAGTATTAGATAGCAAGCAAATGAACACAGAAAAAATGAATTCTAGTGTGCCAGAGAAAACATTGGGAAACGTCTGACTTAAAACACAGCTAAGAAGCTACTTTTGCAATATAATCAAAAAGCTGCTGAGAAACAGGTACCTGACTGGATGGATTCAAACAAAGTGATTTTTTTTAAAAATAATTTTTCAGGCCCAGGACTAATTAAAAAGTAGCAGTCTAAGCAGTGGGTAATAAAGGTGAGTAGAGGATTAAATTTGTCAGGCTTTTCCAGTTTTAGCATTCCTGGCCCTTCCATTACCATTCCATTTGGCTCAGTCAGTGAGATCTCCCAGTGTTGAATCATGAGTATTTGCACATGAAAGTTAGATGGCTAACTTTGCTCACAGTGTGTAGAACATCCTAACAGCTCATGAGTCAGCTCCTAAATCACCATTATTCTGCCCCACACAACAGGGCAAATGAAATCACAGCTGATTCCAACACTCAGAAGCTGGTTTGAAAACAGCCACACAAACTCCACTAGCTGTCAGTCTCGGGAAGAGGGGAAGGCAGAGAGCTGCTGGTGGTGAGTGAGGTCTGCCTTCTGCTTCAATACATTGCTGCTCAGACTTTCTTTGAAATTGGTTAGAGTGCCAGCCTGACACCAAACACATTTTTAGTCATGACCCTGACGGCATACACAGGCATGTGTACATTAGGCATGGCAGTTTATGCTGTATTCAGAGCTGCTGATAGACATAGTCGAAATGTGGATAAAATCTGAAGATGACGTGGAAAAAAAAATGCAGCATGATCAACACTGTTTCTTATCTCTAGGGATGAGACAACCTTTGCGATAGCAAAATGGGTTAGTGTATTCGACTGTTAGGCTGACACGTTACCAGGGCTTCCTAAATTCTTTAAGCTGTGTTCCCTCATTAATGTTTTTCCTAATAATCAAGGAATGTCAGTGTAATGGGGCAATAGATTACAAGAGATAATAAGGGTGAATACCTTGATGGTATTCTAGTAATTGAAGATTGGTGGGCTAAATAAAAAGCAATTTAGGCCCCCAGCCCCTAACAGCACTGGTTCTTCTACCATGAAAAGGAAACATCACTACTTCTTTTATTAAGCTACAGATACTTACAGTGTCTAATAATTCAATGAACTTGGAAAAGTAGTAAAGCCAACAAGTTCGTACCATCTGCAAGGGTAAAAACCAGACATCATCAAAACATAATAGTTGTAAATAAAACTAAGCAGCTGCAGGAAAAATAAGCAACTATATAAATTGCTTATTGGAATGAGTAAGTGGTGTCACAAGATTGACAAAAATATATAAATGTACAGTTTGTTTGTTTTTTCTTTAAACACACAAAATTTTTTTAATTCTGAAGGAATTTTGAACCCAATAACAAGCCAACAAATACATTGCCTCTTTCTCCCAAACAATCAACTCCTCCAGTTAACTCACATGTTCTACATTATGCAAGAGGGCATTTCCATTTAGTGCGTTCCACTCTACAACAGTGTATTTGGTTGTTCAAAAAGCATTTCTAAAAATAAACGCAGTGTAGCACAACAATTCGGCTTTGTGTTTGGCAACTTACTCTTAGAGCTGTAGGTGACCTTGAGTAGTCAACGATATCACAACGGAATGAGTACCCTGTGGCCCAACCTGACATAAGAAACTGGAGCAAAGAAAAGGGAAAGGGCAAAGATTTACTTTATGTCTTCTGAAAAATTCATTAATTTTGGATTACTTTCACAATCACTAAGCAGAAGCAGAAAACAATATTAAAAACTTGTTGAATCAGCAACTTGTCAACCAGCTAACTCTGTGTGGGCTAACTACCATAAAATCCTTTGCGGTTGCAGATTAAAGAATTTCTAATTCCACATCTATAGAAAAGTACTTTCTTCCTACACTCATTATTTCAGCATTAATAACCAGAGAGGAGAAACAGCTGCATCTCAAAACCAATGTTAAAAAAAAGCAACTTAGTTTATAAATGAGACCACAAAACCAAATCAAACATTCTGAAATATTTTGAAAATGGCTACCACAGCCAGCCACCCTAATTACTGAAAAGAAACCAGCACAACATCTCAATAGTGAAACTGAGCACAACAGAAAAATATGGCTTAAAATATGCCTTATCATTAAAGACAAAGAACAAATCAATATGCACTATATTTTTAGTATCATGGTTTCTAAAATTTTGCTTAGTTATATTGCATGATTCTTTGAGTCTTTCCCTGGTACAACAACGAGAAGCTATGGTTTTACAATTGAGAGCACATGTGTGACAAAAGGGCTGTATGTAACAAATGCAATTTCATCTTTTCTCTTGGAATATACTAAAGCTCGGATAAGAGCAACATTGTTAGTATTATACCGGGCTCATTCCCCTACCTCTAGGGCTACTTATATCTGTTTATAAAGTGCTTCTCATTCATTGATCATCATTATCTACTCATGCACAATAGAAGGTCCAATTCTTTTTAACAGATGGAGGGAGGTAGTCCGTTTAACTTCCTAAAAGAATCAGCTGCTTAAATAAAACAAGATTTGAAACACCACTCAGATAACATAATACTAAAGCACCCACCAAATGGCTGAAAGAGTCAGATTTTTTCTGAGCACCAGACAATCGCTGAAATTCGATCTGTTACACTCTATCCATGCATTCTTTTGTGAAATTGAAAAATAGAAGTATTGAGAGCAGATTGATTGAATACTAGTTAGTGTCAGATACTAACGGAAGTTAAACATTTATTTTGCTTCTGAAGGTTATAAGCAAAACCTAACCTGGCACCAAATCACAAAAGGAAGTTTGGCGATTTTTCAGAACAAAGTCTAAATACCAAGTGTGTGCATCTTGACTGCCACTTTCCACACAACAGTCATGACATGAAGTAGCTGCTGCCACACTGCCTTTAGAGTGCTGTTCAATGTCAAGCAGTTCACGATAACTCATGAGGAAATTTATACAAATTGAGCTAATGAAAAAGTATCCTGCCAATTGGCACAATAATCTGACAACTTTTCATGACCAGTTTGCCTAACATGATATAGTCACATAGCCAGATCTAACAGAAAGGGGGTCAGTACTAGCATACTGATGCTTCACCAAGCAAATGTACAAGGCTGTCATTCACACAGTACTATTGCTGTTACTGTCTGCTTTCATTACTAGTATTTACTTTAAGAAACAACCAACCAAAAGAAAACCACCACAAAGAAAAGCCACAAAACCAACCAACAAAACAAAAAAGCCCCCAAAACTCACACATTAGCTATCTTAAGGTCTAAAGCTCTAAATTAAAGCTACATAACCTATACCATTCATAGTTAAGAATTTTTAGGTCATTCAACACATAACACTATACAACTCGTCAGGCTTGCCACTCTGGGAAATTTATTTAAGCTTTGAACTACAGAAAAATCTCAACGTTCTGTCTGAGAGAAACAGCATTTGCTATTTTAGTGCTCGAGATGGGAAATCAACATTCAAGATTTTCATGGTTTGGGTTTTGGGTTTTTTTTATGTTGTATTTTTTGTCATTGAGGTTGTTTTTCATTATTTAAAGGATGAAGATCTCCAACTTATATTTTGTTAACTTCTGTAATTTAAAAGGCAGATCTAACTGAAGATTATTCAGTAATAAACATACTCTACCCAGGTTTTGAAACATCAGTGTGGAGTCACATGTAGGAGAATAGAAACAATTACAGCAGACTAAGAAAAACAGAGTTCACTTTAACTTAATTTCCCTGGGCTGTAGCAGGTATGAGAATTTTTAACTCTCTGAATTATGACACATAAAATATCTTACAGTCCATCTTTCTGGGTACAATTTATTCCCTTTTTTCAATTATCAGCTCAATTAGTTTAGCATACTTCCTGGAGGAATATAATCACAATAATTAGAATTACATTTTTTTATAATTGCAGAGTGGGAATTATATTAATAAATGTATTAGAAGTTAACAGCTAGAAACACAAAATATACAAATACATTACAAATAAAGTAGTACTTACTTCGTAAGTCATATACACAGAGAGTGCTACCACACTGAAATTATAAAACGCCATTATCTGCCTGAGTTCAAATGGTTTTTTATTTTCCATGAGTTTGGGTCCCAAAGACGTGACAAAATAAATGTAGGTTCCAATGATAAAGGTTGTTGGAAAAGGGGAAGACATGAGTGGCCAGCCTTCCAGTCTTGGATCTAGAGGAGAGGAGTGGAAACAACAACAAAAAAATTTCTATTACATACTAAATCCTAAACAGCTACTGAAAGGTACTTAATTGTTAACATTTTAGATTTTGCTGTCATTGACCATGTTTCAAGAGTCCATTCACCTCAAATCCATACTGACTGAATAACAAGATTTAGCTCCTATAGGATTCAATGCTTCTTTCTGCATCAATTCTTCACACATAATGAAGAGGAGACACAAAATCATGGGTGATGCAATTTTTGGTCTAGAGGTCTCCTTCACGGAAATTTCACACACCAACAGGGCTCAGAGAGCAGCACAAGATGGCAATGCACAGTTAGATCACTAAGGCTGCATTTCCATGTAAGACTTCATTCCTCTGGAAAACCATGAACCTTATTTCACAAGTTCAAGTCACAGACTGGGAGATCCTTGAACTTTGTAAGCAGAATGATGTTAGACATAGTATCGGGATTTTAAAGGTAGAAGACCTTCTGTCCCAGCACATGGTATTCATAGCTTAGTACTTGAGGCTTGTGCCTATTCATTCCAGACACGTCACCACTTTCACGGCACAGTAAAGCACACACTTTCATATGAGGAGACCCCAGACGGCAAAAGTGTTGCAAGTTCCTCTCCAGTTATCCCAGACAGAAGTACTGCAGGGAGTCCTTGCTCCTACAGACACCATGCTCCCCACAGCTGAGGCTGGCAGGCACTCCCTCTGAGCTTCACCATGACTCCACTGCACCCTTTTGCAGTTCGTCACTGAGTCCCAGCTCACCAGACTTCCACATTTCCCCATATGCAGGAGAGCAGATATGAGCTTCAGGTGTTTCTAAATTACTTACTTACTTTTATAAACTGACTTCTGGAAGATTGATTTCTCAATGACCCCAAGCTTAACTACTGACTCAATGACTTCTGTTTTCATGGCTTGCTGCTGTATTTTGGTGGTGAAATTATGCTACTGCATTTTTTTCTAAGTGTTTAATTCGGTGATTTTCAACCCACAGCATTTGAGCAACGTTTCACCCATGAGACCCTCTGATGTTAAACCATTGGACATTTTAAAACAGACTTTGGTAAGCGCATTGTAATGCTGCTCACAGTCTGTAATGTGCCCAGGGTTACTGCCCGCAGACCAAGAAGGACTGTGAACCACAGCAATAGGCATCTGCATGTGTTGCACTGCAAGAGAATCACCAGATCTTCACAACTGACTAGTTTCTCTGCATCTATGCCTCGCACTGGTACTACCAAAGCTTTCCCACTAGTCCTCCCAGCTTGATCCTGAGAGAACGACATCCCACCACTAACTGTGCTATGAGATGCCAAATACAAGCACTGGTAGGCAGGTGGATGAACGAGGCACTCAAATGCTGAAGTCACAGACACTGCAGCAGAAATGCTCTATCACCCAGCTTCTTCCCTACCTACTTCACTGCATGAGTCATGCTGATAAAACTGCCTTCTCACTTGCATGCTGTAGCTCTACAGGACAAGGGAAATGGTTCTCAGCTATAATGGAAAAGATAAATTTTATTGATCAAACCTTAAATGCTTCTCAAGTTTTTCCCAGGAGTCAGCTAATCCCTGTCTTTATGTGCCTACCACAGTGAGGAACACTCAGGGAGGCCATTGTGACAGATAGGTCTTAACCCCAAACTTGAGAGCTTCTCTATCATTTTTTGATAAGGACGCAGAACTACAGAACAACAACAACATTAAAGCAAAGTGTCTTTAATATCCTCATTGCAGCTGCAACAAAAGACTAACATTCCTTTTCAAAACAGAGCTGTGACAAAATTAATTACTCTGAGGAATAAAACACTAACTATAACTTATCAGTGGTTTTATTTCTTTCATTTGCAAAAGGAAAATACAGTTAACACCATGCACCTAGCTCAATTAATTGATAAAACATCACTGTTTGTTAATGAAATAGGTTGAAGTTTTAGGTTCCGCAGCACAGGAAAAACATAAGCTATATATTTAAGCAAAACAGAAACTCTTACAGAAGAATCACTGTCTGCACTTTCAGTGTGAGGTTATATCCATAAACTAGCTGAGTTTTCATAGTCCTTCACAGTTAAATATGTCAATATGTAACCTTACAGGAAGACAAAGCTACTATAAGTTGGTATTCCCATTCGTTCCCCATGTGTTGCCTGATCTAGTCGAGAGGTGGCGTCCCTGGCAGCAGGGAGGCTGGATTAAAATGATCTCTACGGTCCCTTCCAGCTTAGGCCATTCTATGATTCTATGATAAAACAGCACACCTAGAATAGCTACACATTGGTATTAAAAATTATTGAAAGTTAGTAAATTTTAGGTTTAAATTACTCACCTGCATCTTTAATCCATTCATCATACAGTAGTACAGCCTTTGATGTCAGATTGCTAAAGGCCATTTTCACTTGATTAAGATTTTACGATGCTGTTTGCAGAAAAACAAACCAAAACAGAAAAAATAGATTTTTGTAAAATAAAGGTCTGTAAAGTGTTTTGGAAAAGATTTTCAGGAAACAGAATGGAAACAATATAGAGAGGATTAACAGAGAAATACATGAAATACAGATCAGAGAGCATTGCCCGACCACATTGCACTGTGCTTGGGGCTAATTTATAGCTGGAGCTGTTATGCACAACAATATGATTTTGTAATCTCTACACACCAAACAAGGCGCTTCCATGCCGTAAAGCATTATCTCAAGAAACCAGGCCGTGGCTGTTAAGGGGAAAATATAAATAACGAACAGCTGCTTAGGTTAATTTTTATTAGCATATCCCCTTAAAGTCCAAGTCACTGATATGTGAAGTTCAGATTTGCAACATTTACTATTCAAAATTTTAATTTTCTAAAAAGTATTTCTAGGGTAAGTGGGAAGGAGAGAAAGGTGCCACTATGTCTGTGTGCTCCTTTTAAATATAATAATTACCTATGTTATAATTAGTATGCAGATCACACTCTGATGAATCAACTGTTTCCACACCAGGATCATGAAGTGTCATAGTACCACTGGTAATATCATTAACTCACAAAAATTATCCAGTATATCCAGGGTGCACACAGCACCACCCACATATGTAGAACTTTTCAAAGAAGCATGTTATATGAATACTGGGTTTTGCTCCAAACCCAGGTACTCATCAGCCCTTTCCCTTGCCTCATTCCCCCTAAAAAACTTCTTTGAAGTTCCAACACATCTGAAAGCTATCTCTCCAGTTCCCACTCAGCATCTCACTTTGCCATACAATTTCTCTCCATACCCTTGTGCCATCTTCACGCTGCATTCACTTTTTTTTAGTCCAGGGTGCAGCACACCTTGAGAACCAGTTCCTTTCCTTTGCCTGCCCTTCTGGATCTCCTCCAGGCTAAGCCAGCTGCAGCCTTGGAGAACCAGTTCTGCCCCCATGATGGTAATGAATCTCTCTCCTCAGATCTCCCCACTATAATCTTATCTGATTTCTCTGCCAGTCACTTTTCCTGCCTTCATCCTCATGAAGATGTTAGTGGAACTCAGGCTAACTATCTTAAAATGCTGACCAAAACCCAAGTTAAACAGGCAACCTACTGCTTTGGAATAAGATGTTCTGAAAAACACGGAAAATTCTGTGTAGAGGCTGTCTCAAAATGAATTGCCACTTATTACGGGCTTGGGGGCGTTGATTGACTTTTCCTCCCTCTTACAGTGGTAACCTCTCATCCTGACAATTGCAGTCTCACAGATAGACAGTTCCTTACATTTATGCACTTGACTCATCAACATCACTTCAATTTTGCATTAGCAGTCAAACAAACATGCGGTTGGTGGTTCAATAGAAACTCTTCTGTCTGCTAGGCACTGGGACTAAAAGCAAGCTTTTTATCTGAAACCAGACTAATTCCAATAGATTGCTTCTGCTCCTAGTAGAAAACAGTAATGAAAATAGCAAATCCTCACATTTTCCAGCCCCTGCTATACTGATGGAGAGACCCACTACTCCTGACCCCACCACTCACAGCTCTTCTCCCTTTTAAACATTTCACAAGAGCTTAGACAGAGGCTTTTAGGCTTCAAGGCTTCTTTTCTGTTCATAACCAAGCAAGTAAGATATAATTCTACAGCAGCTGCTAAACTTATTTTGAAAATTTTCACAGTTTAGTTGCTGTCTTTGAGAGAAGGATGTACCAATCAGAGAGCAGCCACAGCCTAACTACACAGGCATACCAACTGGTCAATTACTCTGCATCTGAAGGTAAGTTAAAACTATTTTAAGAGTAGGAATAATGTCTGCATGAAAGACAGTGCTGTTCAGAACTTACCTGCTTTATTTAAAATCAATTTATGTAACACTACTACTTTACCTTCAATGTGCTCTACAACTATACTTATTTTTTTTAACTAGCTATCCCATGTTCCTTTGTGAGTCTGCTTCCATGAACAATTGTTTGAATTAATACTAGGTTTTCAGGGTTTTTTGTTTACTACCTACAAATGGGGTAAGTAATTTGTCTCCTTTTACACTTACTTCATACACAAAGTCATACATACTGGAAAATAATATCATCAAGGCTTGTGTTTGCTTTGCTTTTTTTTACAGAAGAGTAAAATAGCTGCACATACTCAGACAAAATAAACAACTAGCTTGTGCTTCAGGGAAAAAAAAATTGAAAGACTGCATTTTTACAGTACAACCATGTTGCTCAGTAGTCACCTGCTAAAATTTTGACCAGAGGACAGCCTTCCATAACATTTGGCAGTTTTGAAGTCTACAGAACTTGTCCTCTAAATGTGAGACTGGAAATATTTGGTCTGAAGGGACAAACACCTGGGGGCAGAGGCAGACATTTATTAAATATACAGCTTTAGGTCTTCATGCTGTAAACTCATCTGCACATTAAGCATTTGTATAGCCACAGTTCAGTTGGGAAAAGAGTACATTAGCAGGTATGTAACTAAGTGTATTACAGAATCAGCACATCAGCACTCTTATTTCCAATCTTCCTCTTCTGCTTGTAGCAAAACTTAAAAATGCAACTAAAATGCACTAATGGTTGAAAACTTTCTTTAAATTAGAGTGTCTCAGTTATAGTAAACTCTCTCTAAACCAGGGAAGTCACACTAGCAGATCCATTTTCAAAATTACGTTATTTTAAATTACATATTGGAAGCAATCATGTAAGTTCAGTCTGACCAGTTTGAAGAGTTCTAAAGAACATAAAAGCAGTCCTCTCAAGGACATGCATTTGGAAAATAAGCACTGAAATCACCTCAAAAACATATGCAAGGTACTCAGGTCTAAGAAAGAAATAAGTGATTTTTTTTTCCCCTGTCTTTTACTTTTTATTTAAAATTGTCAGTGGAAGTAATATTGTGCATCTAGGATCAAGCCAGCTGTACTAATATAATTTCTGAAGACATCTTTAAGCAAATGTGTCTTTGCCATTATAAAAATAGGGGCTGTAAGAGACGCAAATGAGGGAGAGAGCTATGTTAAAAGAACAAAGTCATTTGCTGGGCTCTGGTCCCCTGCAGCTCAGCAGACAGCTGAGAAAGACGAGTAACTACAGCAGAGTTAAGGCATACAGCTTGGCTCGGCAGAACCAATTTCAAGTTGGACAATTACCTTTACCCAGGCAAGAGTAGATAAGATCGTTAACACCAGCCAAAAATGCCACAAATACCACAGCAAAACCATATGAGAATGCTTCACAACGACAAGTACTAGGTAATGAGTTGCTGGGAGAGCTCAAGTTTGGTTAGCACATAAATCTATCAGTGATTCTTGTAATGGGAATTACTGGTATGCCTCAAACATTCCTCATTTTTTAAATGAGAACAAGAAGTTTCTCACATTCCTTTGCTTAGCCCACATGAAAGATATTTGCCATTCTTGATGCTTATGTATTCCCCCTACACAGTTTTAAAATACTAAAAGATAAGATTTGCTTTTACATAGTAATTTTACATCAAGTGTTTTACGTTGATGACTACTGAATAAAACAAGCAAACAAAATAATCTGACAGAAGATGAAGAAAAATGAAACACTCTAATATAAGCTCTGTCACTCCAGAAAACAAATTTGAAAACTCAGTGGGAACTTTTAAGTGTTTTAAGTTAAGAATTTGCATTAGAGAGCAAAGCTAATTATTAGAAATATGGACAAGCTACTTTTACAGGCACCCCTTAGCAAAAGACAGGTACAAACTTTAATGGACTAATTTCTATTTATCCCCAAAGCAAAGGTTCTAGAACATGACTCCCTTGCCTGGCAAGCAGGTAATAATGATGGGAGGACCCTCCGCCCTGGTGGAAAATGGAGAGAACCTGCAGGAAGCATTGACCCACACAGGTCTGATTTCAAAATGAGAACTTAAGAAATTACAGTAATACTGGCTTGCATATTCAGGCACAATTATGAAACTTTCATGTTTCAGAATCACTTGGTATATTGTTGTTAATTCTGCTCTTCAAGTTCAGAAGGTAATTAGATCAAGATGTTTCACAGATGGTATCTTAAGCTTTCCCTGGGAAATACCAGCTCTGCCCTTCCCATTTCCCAAGGCTGTACACTTACGTAATTGCAGTTATTTTAACCACATTATTCCCTCATGCCACATGGCAAACAAATACAAGCTACCTATTACATTAGACGGATTACTCACCTATATTCTGCAATAAGGTTTTAAACTTTAGCCAGGTGTCACCTGTCTTTACAGATTTTTCTTGAGAAAAATTTCTGTGACCTTTCCCCACCCCTTATGCCTTCTCTCAATCACCTAATGCATTTTTGAAAAGCCTCATCTCACAGGCAAGTTAGCTACACCCTGCTTAGTAGTAGATGGTCTTTTCGTTTTTAATAATATTGCTGGTAAATGCTCTTCCTGTTAGAAGACAGTCAGAGGAGTGACAGAAGGCAGGCAAGCAACTGTATGCAATGGAGGCATTTTGTGAAATTTCCAAGTTGAAAGATCTATCAGCTGTTACCTTGATTAAGTTTCAAACTTGGTCTTTGAAGCCAGTCCATGTTAAAACACAAATTCTAACTCCTTAGAGTCCATAACAATCTCTGCACGTATATTTCAGAGTAAACACTCGGGAGAGAACAGCTAATTTCAAAATAAATATAAATTCATTTTTTAAAGGACATCCTAAAAACAGATAAAAGAGAGGTAGGTACTTTATTAGAGTGTCTACATGTAAAATTCACCATTGCCAGTATTCAATAAAATATCTAATTGTTACCCTGTGTAATCACTGTTAGTTAATTATTTACACTGAATTATTTAATGCTTTGCTTTTAAAACTAGCATCAATTTGTTGTTCACCCACATGAATAAAGTGGTCTGTAAGTAGAAGAACTAGTGAAAACATGTTATTGCAGTCACACTTTAGTTTTCTGCCAGACTAATGGATTTCCCATTCT